ACTGCAGTGTTAGAAAGTTTTATCTTTGCTCGGTTGAAGAGAGATCTTGCTAGAAGGGGGACCCGGAATGACATCACAGGGATTGCATGTGTTTCAGGTTCGAGCTGTGCCAAACTGCCTTTCACTGGTGCTTCACCTGCACTTCACCTCTTTCCTTAATTACTTTAATTATACCCTTGTTGGCTCCGTTTATTTATCTGTATCTATTTTTTTCCCTCTGTTGGTCTGGCAGGGTGTGAGCACGTCAGGTAAGAATGCAGGAGGACCCAAAATAGAAACATGCGTCTGCCAACTGACTGCAGGATACGCAGCTTCATTTTATCGCATTATATATGTTAATGGTTGACACCCAAGCAGCAGAGATCTGCGTGCATCAAACCCCGCTTAGGAAAACTCTGACTCACTCTGCATGGGTTGAACGTCTGAGTGTGTGTCGGGTATCCTAGTATTATATTTTATGCGGCCGTCAGTACGGAAAGTTCTTGTGTTATGTTTCAAAACAGCTTCGTGGGAACTTTTTGTTTGTTACTGTTAAGTGTTCAGGTGTGCCTCTGATTATATGGACAGGCCTCCCCGTCCGTCTCCCCCCCTAACATTCATCTTCCAAAACACAAAGGTATGAATCTACAGAAGCACAACAAAGCAGGCACCAAGCGTTTAGAGAGCCGCATTGTTGGGTAATTACAGTAATCGCTGTTCGAAGAATAAACTAGGTGGAATGTGTGCGTCTGACTCTTTTATTTCCCTGGAGCGCATGCACACACTTTCACACCCACACCTGAGAAGAGGCACAGCTGCAGACGGACGTACACCCCCCTGTGCACGAACCCCTGCGCTGATGCTTACAGTGTTGAGAGCAGGAATGAGTGGAATTGATGTGGAATGTCTGATTTTGAAGTAGACACATCGCCGTACCTACCTGTGCGCCCCAAACGAAGCATGTCGGCTCTGTCAGAGGCTAAATCTGCAGCAGGGAATCTTGGGAATCTCAACAACGCAGCGCCTCTTGTTGCCGTTCCTCCCTGCCCTGCTCACCCACAGCCCGTACTTTGTTTATACAAAGACATGGGGGTTGGACACCCTTCACTCACAGAGAAGAAAGCAAACAAAGATGAGATACAGGTAAGAAGTCATCCAGAGACAGGCAGACAGGGGTTAGCGTGTGAGCGCAGACCGCCGCAGAGGTGGGGCTATTTTTGGAACCTACGAAGGATTCACCCGATGAATTTACATGACTGGAATTCCACTCATGTCAGCACTTAAGGGAGATTTCTGCTGCTGCTCAAAGGAGACACTTGAAAACTCAATAGCTGGGCTGAAATAACAAGGTGCCAAGTTGAACAGAGACACATTAACAGGTTATATAAGCACAATAACCTCCCTGCAGAGCGCTGCTAACTCCTCTAACCTCAATGACCCTTCAATTAAAGCAACTTGAATGTATTATGAAGATCATTTTCCATCAGACGTTCGGGGTAAACGAGGATCCTGACCTTCTCAAATGATCCAATGAGATGAAAAAGCCTTGATCTACGCAGACAGCGATGATAATGTGATACTTTATTTATCCCTGTGGGGGAAATCGTCCTTCCACTTCTGATTTCAAATTGCTATGTGGAGGATAAAACCCAAACAGGTGTGCTTCCTTTCACACCGTATCACTGCAGCACAGGTGTGTGCAGACTTCTTGGCAGAATACCTGAAATCAAATACGGCCTCATAACACTTCAGAAAAGAAGAAAACACACACACAGGCACACCCACCAGCAGCCCAGCAGAGTAAGAGCCTCCTCTGAGAGGTGATAATGACAGTGCGCACGCACGCACGCCGCCGCCGCTGCGTCCCTCAGCTCTGGTTTTAGGCTCACAGCAGTCGGCCTCCTGAGTTTCATCACAAACATGCTGGATTAAACTCTCACCAGCTGCTAAAGAAATGTCCCGGTGGGAGAAAGAAGCAGTTTCCAGCATTTACATCTGATCAGAGTATGTGTGTGACGCTCAGCAACTCCAACTGCACAGAATCTGTAACCAGACTGAAGTAACTCGCAGATTTAAGAGGACAAAATATCCAAGATGAACTTTGATTTACAGAAAAATCACAGCAAAAGGAAAAAAATAGGTGGAGTTATGAGCGCAGAAAAGCAGGATGAGCTGCACAAGATAAAAAAAGCTGCAGGACCTGTATTCAATTTGAGTTTACTCTATAAAAAGATAAATGTATTTGGTCTTTTAGGAGGGACATCAGATCAGGACTGAAACCAACCTGCTCAGAATGATCCTTCTGAACATGTTTCTGTATTTTAACCTGCTCAGACTGAGGTCAGAGGTCATACAGCAACAGAGAGTATCAGAAAACTAACAATATGTTTTTGTTTATTTCTGTGTGTTTGTTTTAGGCCATCACATATTTGACTATTTAACACTTTTGTTCCTCAAACTGGTCTCTTTTTTTAACCCCACACTCAGACCTCAAATCCTTGTCCAGGTGATTAACCCAGTTACCCCATGAATGCTGTTACTTTCACTCACACACACTCACGCTGGGATAGCCCTGGGTACTGTGTGATCTTTATTCGTGCCTGTCATGTCCTCGCTGGGTTATAATTAGGTGATAAAACTTAAACATGCCGGCACACAGACAGACGGCTCACACAGATCCATATCTCACTAACAGACTGGTATAGACAGATGTTAGTTTATAGAAACCTTATCTGAAATGTTCAGATCACTTTTCATAATCCCTCAACTTTCAGTCATCCTCAGTGTGCTTTAAATTCAGATTAATCGCCAAAATTTATGACAGGAGCTCGTAAATATTTCATAAGTGGTGTGTGTATGTGCGCGCACACACACACACACACACACACACACACACACACACACACACACACACACACACACACACACACACACACACACACACACACACACACACACACACACACACACAGAGAGATGAACTCTTTGTAAGCTGTTCAGGTTCCAGCAAAGTCCGAGCAGCTGAGATATGAGGAGAGAGCAGGAGAAGACAGTTTAATGATTATTACTGGCCTGAGGCCAGAGTCATAACTCATGCTAACTCTGCCGTCATGCAGCTGAGAGGCGCTGACAGGAGAAGAAGAGTTAGTGGGACAACAGACGTTCAGTTAACAGGTGTCAGTTTACCCACCAAAAACTGTTAAAGAGGATTTCAGACACTTTATTGATTTGAGCTTCACCGAATGTCTGCAGACCAGTGTGGCACAGCATTGATTTATGGCTCATTTATTAATTGACATCAGGGTCAAAATGGTTATGTCACCACAGCTGTGTTGCAACGATGCACAAAGTTTAACAGCCGGGATCCTCATCTGTGTATTTATCCTTATTTTCTGCAATAATATTTGTTCCTCTTTGAACGGGAAGAGTGTAAACTGTCACTTATCCGACAAACACTGACGGGAAAATTAGGAGAAGTATTGGGACACAGAGCTTCGACTTTATCAGAAGCTCCTGGCTCTAAATTCACAGCAGTCCTTACAAAGTTTGGACTCTTTAAGGGGAATTTTAAAGGATACAATCCAAACTAGAAAACACTCATAATAAAAGTGGTGTGTTCGGGTTGTTTGAGGGGGGTGGGTAAAGAGGTAAAAGGGGCTCTGATGTTTTATGAGGATCTGAAGACTTTGGCACTAAGATGCATGAATTCAGATGGTTTGGCACAATAAAGGGGGTCTGAGGGTCCTCTTCCAGGACATTTGGGCATCTAAATCTGAACCCAAGCATACTGATGAATATTTGTGCAACAGATTTTAAAAGTAAAACACAAATTACTGATGCAAGATTTTATCTACTTGACTTGTAACGACCAAACACAACAAATAAGGGCACTAAATGAAATTATATTACTTAATTTGTTGTTTTATCCTTCGTATTAGCACATATGTGGCACTTGAAGGGGCATCAGAGAGAGTATCCTCGTTTAGTAGGGTGTTCAGTCTCCTCTTCACTCAACACTAAGATTTCCACTCATGCTAAAGGCGACAGAATCAGCCTTCCTCTTTTCACTCATTTGCATCATCTCTTCATAAATCTTCCAGCAGGTGCAGAGACCCCCTCTGAACTTTAAAAAAAAACCTCTAATATAAAGAATCAGTTCTTCAAAGCTCTTTGTTTGACCTGAGAGCTTTATCATTCATTGTGCAAACATGCAAACACATCCAAACCGTGATCGGAACCCATCTGAGTCATGAGTCTCCGTTCAGTCCCCCGGTGCGCAGGAGCTCCGGAAACCTGCAGGTTAGGGAGTGAAGAGGAGAAACACAGTCCCGTATATGTGCTTCCATTCATTCTGCTCTCACTGGAGTTCATTTGTTTTGACTTTCCCTCATCATAAAATGTTCTACCTCTTCCAGAAGTTAAGAAGTTGTGCGTAAAAATGTGCATTTACGTTTGGAGATGTGAAATATGTCAGAGTGACATTTTCTCTGTTTTTAGAGGAGAAGAAAAGAAAACTAACAAATCTGTGTTTTTCGGTTTATAGTCCATCAGTTAAAGTTGATAAATCTCAACGTTTGGTTTGGTTTGTGCGTTTTTGCTGCAGGAATATTAAAGGTTGGATGCTAAAAATCTAAAGTGATTATTCCTCATACCTGCTCTCTCTCTCTTTCTCTCCCTCTCTCTCGCCTCCCTCTCTGTGTGTGTGTTTTTTTTCTTCTTCACTGGCGTGGCACGGTAGCCTCCAATTGTAAACATTCGTATATTATATCACTCAATCGCATCAATGGATTCAGGCTCCAAACTCCGCCTGTGGGCCGTCCCTCACAGAGCCATTATATTATAGCAAGACAAGCGTGTCTCCGGAGACAGATCTGTACTCTGCTGCTCCAGACTGAGGCTCAGGGTGCCTCCAGCGCCTCACCAGAGCCTTTACAACAAACACACTCAGGAGAAGCTGCACCTGCTCGGACCAGACCAGACTTCACAGACTCTTCAGAGAGAAGATCCGTCTTTTAACAAACATGAAACTTGAAGTTTTCTCTGCGCACCACTTCGCGCAGAAGCCAATGGAGTTGTGCATGGACGCAGAGGTGGGAGTCCCGTCTCCTCTGTCCGGGGACGAGCTGGGGTCTGACGGGGACTGCGTGGCCAACAGCCCGGCACCTGTCATCCAGAGCGGCGACAGCAGCAAGGGGAAACCCTACACCCGCAGACCCAAACCCCCGTACTCCTACATCGCCCTGATCGCCATGGCCATCAGAGAGTCCAGCAGCGGCCGCCTCACGCTGGCAGAGATCAACGACTACCTGATGAAGAAGTTCCCCTTCTTCCGCGGCAGCTACACCGGCTGGAGGAACTCCGTGCGCCACAACCTGTCACTCAACGACTGCTTCCTCAAGGTGCTGCGAGACCCGTCCCGGCCCTGGGGCAAGGACAACTACTGGATGCTGAACCCGCACAGTGAGTACACCTTCGCTGACGGGGTGTTCCGGCGCAGGAGGAAGCGCATCGCCAAGAGGAGCTCCAACAAGGAGCAGGAGAGCCCGGAGCTCCTGAGCGAGGACACCCGCCTCCCCGCGCCGGAGGAGAGAGTGGGGGCCAAGTTCTCCAGCTCCTTCGCCATCGACAGCATCCTCAGCACGCCCTTCAAACGGAGGGAGGACAGCCACGTTGAGGCAGCGACCCCCCACGCCCCCCGGCTCTACTGGCCCCCAGGGGCCCACATACTGCCGTACACTCTCAGCTACCCTTCACAGCACGCGTACCTGTCAGAAGGGGGGTACAGCGGCAGCAGCACGGAGCCCAGCAGGGACGCACTCACATACCTGCAACGCACGGCACCTGAGGCCGCTGTGCACGCGCTCAAGATGCCCAGCAAGGCGCGAGGCTTTCATATAGACTCTCTGCTGTCGTGAGGCACGCGGACTGCTGTCAGACCTGTTTGTTTGGACTCGTGGTGTGAACTCTGAGCTCTCTGTTCGGGACTCAGTCTGATCCTGAGACTGCTGGAAGTCAAATCAAAACAAACATGGCGTCCTCCTCTTCATATTGATCAGTGCTGTCATCACGGGACACTCCTAACCGTGTGTGTGTGTGAGTGTATGTGTGTGTGAGTGTGTGTGAAAGAGAGAGAGAGAGTGTGTGTGAGTGTGTTTGGTTCATTGGTCATTTCTGCTGTAACGATGGCAACAAAGCGCCACGATGAAACCCTAAAATTATTCATTTATTTATATTTCCATGTTTTTGTAAGATCTGCTGTATAACATACTGCTGTGTAAATAGATATTAAATATTGATATGTGTGTGTGTGTGTGTGTGTGTGTGTGTGTGTGTGTGTGTGTGTGTGTGTGTGTGTGTGTGTACATATAAATATTGACTGAGCTGCGATGAGGGTCACGTGGCTGCACTAGAAACGCATGGAAAAGCCTGATATTGTTCCTGAGATTGAGTCATGCATGCCTGATATTTTTATGAATAAAAATGTGAAACAATGGGACCCGGATGTTCAGTGATTTTTTTATGATATTACATGAAGAGAGAGAGAGAGAGAGAGAGAGAGAGAGAGAGGATGGTGGGCAGGCGTGTAGACCGATACTGGGAGTGATCGGGACCTCACACCTGTTCAACAGGGAAAATGAGTGAACTATTCCTTTAATTCTACCTTAGAAAGACAAACTCGACAATAATAATAAGGACCAAATCCAAACAAAATCATTACAAATACAGCCTCAGGACTCTTCCTCTTAGATGATGAAATCTGGTATCGGAATGATCCAATATCGAAAAGTGATTTTTGTTTTTTCGATACGGTCAAAAAGGTTTGAGTCAGAAAGAAAACAACTCCTGTAAACAAATAAAACTACAGCTTAAAATTAGAGATAATGACAAGTTACCATGTTAGGTTGGTTCATTTTTTATAAATATACAACAGCTCATCCCAAGTGATCTGAAAAGACGCCAAAAAACATCCTGTTGCAATGAAAAATAAAATGAAAGGACGGTTTGTTTTTTTTAATATTTCACTGACATTTTACATTTAAGATATTGGCTCTAATAATTCTGTGTGGTTCATTTCCAGCTTATTTGATTTTGAAAATGAGAAATAGATGTTCACCATCAAATTAAACAAGGTACGATAAACTGAACTGACTCTATCTTGCTGCTTAAAACAACAAATAAACATGGAAACAAACAGAACAATATTACGGGTGAGGATATATCAAAATCAAACACTTGGTATAGTTAATTATTGATTGCACAGAGAAATCGTTCAAAAACACAAACTGTGCAATGATAAAATTGTGTAAATGCTGCAGAAAATAAATAAAAATAAAAATAATTGAAGTAAGTAATTTTTAAAATCAGTATGTTCTGTGTGTGAAAATATAAGGCAAGTTTGCATATAGAATATAAATATGCAGAAAGCATAAATAAGCCAAGAAGGTGATTATAAACTCTAAACATTATAATAATAGTATTCTGGTACTTGTGGACATCTAGCATTGATACAATATTGATGAACAGTTAGTGATAGTTTTCTGGTGTATTATTGATCAGTGATGAATGACATGAAACCTGATTACAGAGAAGTGACTAATATGACATGAAATCCTCTTACTGTTGTTGTTTGAACTAATTTAAACATATGAACACACTTGTTACTTGTTATACACTTGATATTTTGTTTTATCTAAACATAATTCAAATCATGTCACGTGATATTTGATACAGATATTTTATAAAGGGGTTGACTGTGCAGTTTTAGATGGATGAGATATGGTGTAAATGTGTCAACATTAAAACACTACCTTTAGTTTCTCCCTCGTGTTCAGATGTTCTCCACACACTGACCTGCAGGATTTCTCTCAGTTTTACGCACACACACACTCAATCAGTCCCGCAGCCTCAGCACCGTCCGGGTCCGCAGGAGGCCACAGCTGCTCTCCGCGGTCCTGAATCCCCCCCGAACTCATCCGCCTGTGGACCACTAAAGAAGAAGAAGAAGAGTGTTCATATGAAATATTTAATTTACATTATTTACAGATAAGATGTTCCTCCTGTTTTCTTCTTCTCATGTTTCTCCTGTTGTGTGTAAAACTTCAGGACAATCTCACCCTGTACAACAAACACTCACTATGAATATAAATAATTGTTTATCTTTACAATCTTTATTATTATTCATAATAATTCGAAATTACACACTCTAATCGTGTTTATATTAACCTCACAATTTCTATTAATATTGAATAAGTAATAAAATAAATACATTTTTATCTAACTCCTGCTTGTGAACCCATTTTTAATATACATTTGATTATCCTCTGCACTTTATCCTCGCTTATTCAGTGTCTGATGTTTGTATCCATGTTTGCGTAAAGAGAGCAAACTCAACCGGCTGATTCTGACTCTGATCGTGACTCCACTTTTCTCCTAAATATTTGTAAGTCCCTTTTTTTAACGTTGTCATCCATCTTTTTCATATTTAACTTGGTCTCGGTTCGGTTTGTTTATTTATTTAATGCACTATTCGATCAATTTAAAAACCTCGGACGGTTTTTATAAACGAACTTCACAGACGGTTTTTTTTAATCGTCTGAACCACAAATAAATTATGAAAAGTGATCTTGACAGGAGATCTTGTTTTTCAAAGTGCAGTTTTGAAAGATGCTCTGACGGATTTTATAAATTAAAAAAACAGGCGTTTGTAGTGGCGTGACTGATTTCTTATGAAAGTATGAAGACTGTTTAGAAATATTGATGCTGATGTTGAGGTTGTGAGCGTGAATTCTCAGCTGCAGATGGAAATAATTCAGAATTTAAAAGTTTCACATTTTAATTTTTGACTCAGATTGCTCCTGTTTTTTGTGCCTTTTTAGATCTTTTTTTGCCTTCATCCTACAGACACCAATTTCTCCTCCCATGGAGCAGCAGCAGCACCAGTCTGATGTCTCTCCTCGCCTCAGTCTGACAGGTGACAGGTGAGCCTCGCTCCTGTTTTCAGGGACAATGCTGCAACCTGCAGGAGAAACGCCGGAACAGCACACCTGTCTGCGGGGCAGTCACGTGGCTCCAATCCTCCCAGACAGCATCCTCATATTGTTGACATCCTTGTTGTCATGACGCGCATCCTCCGTGTTTGTAAGCAATTTTTACATTCGGACCAGGTGGACACGATGCAGGCAGGTCTCAGGATCTGTCTGACTGACTGACTGACTGACTGCAGATCGAACAGGACCCCTCGGTGTTATGAAACCAAACTTTTAAAGCAGCAGGCACAATGTTAGGAAGTCCAAACAGTCTGTCACTCCGGCAAACTGAACCGCGCCTGACCCCCAGACTCCCGGAGAGGGAGCTCAGGAAACCGAGTCAGAGCAGCAAGAAAAGCCCGAGCAGAAGAGAGAGACAATATCACCGAGAGAGTGTTTTCATTCAGCGCGTTTTGCTGATTATAGGCCCACAGATGGAGCATTTGAGACATTTGTAATTATCGTTTCATTTAGTTATGTTTGGAGATATTTCCTGATGATCATTCTGACTTCTTTGTGGTTTTCCTGGTTCAGTTTTAGGCCGCAGACGTTTGATTCTGAAGTGGCCTGGAGTGGGTTTCCTGAGGTCAGGCAGCCGGACAAACAGTTTCTCTAAATCTTCATATATTTGATGGGGGACAAACCACATTTTTCTGCGCTAATATGAAAACAAACAGGCGGCCTCATTGTGTCGACAGCGGGGGCTCATATGGGCCTTCAGCCGGGACTGTTCTTCAAAGACAGCCCCCTCCATCAAAAACACCTCTGAATAGTTTTCGTGGCGGCTGTTGATCACTCGAGATTTGCAAAAGGCTAAATTAGGAGCTCATATAATCTCGGTGCGTAAAAAAACACGAGCCGGAGCGCCTTCTTCAAAGCTTCCCAGAACAAAGATCTCCTCTGCGGGCCGAAGCATCCTGATCTCCGCGGGGGTCATAAGTTTTGATGTCGCAGGAAATTTCTGGGGGCCGTTAAGTTGTGTGTGTGTGTGTATGTGTGTGTGCGTGGGTGTGTATGTGTGTGTCACGGTGGAAAATGATTTTATCCGCACATCCTTTGTTGCGCAAAGTGCAAAAGGTTATTGTTGGAGGTTATTGTTTGGAAAATCCTGCGGGCTATATCTGAACTTAACTTAAGACAAGGTTGTGTGGGCAAACACGTGCACGGAGGCAGATTTGAGAGTGTGTGAAATAAAAAGTGAAAATGTGGAAAACGCACCATCTAGTATCAAAATCACCAAAAGTCCCCATGCACCGATAAAAGACGATTAATCGAAATAAAATTCTACGTCTTAAAAATGATCCACAACACAACCAAACGTCTCTCTTTAACGCCACTGACTCAGATCTCTGCGCCTTTTCCCCCTCCAAAGTTCACTGATCTCCGCTCCGTCGCTGCACGGATGTTGATATTACCTTTATGGGATATATAACTCCATCATGTTGGACAAATCTGTGTGTGATGTCTCCATAGGGGAGGAAACTGTCGACGCCCGCTCGCCTAATTTCGCTTTTCTCTCTCTAATGAACGCGGGGCCCATGGGACCGGCTCTGGCCCGGGGCGGTAAGCTGACACTGGCGCGCTGTGTGTGGTATCCAGGGCCGGGCTTGATGGAAAAAGCCTGCTTCCACTCATGTCAAAGTCATTTACTCAGAGCAACCCCCCGCTTACACACGCACACAGCAAAAGACCACCACCACCACCTCTCCATCTCTCACACTCCTCGGCCCAGCCCGGCACCGCGACAGTTTGTTTTTGTTATCCTCTGGACCAGTTTGGGAGGAAATTATGAGCAAAATAACACAAATAACACAAGATGGTGCGCTTTCATTGTCTCTCTGCTGCAGATTCCACGCAGGCCCTCTATAGTGAGTGTTTCGGAGTTGTGGTTTCTGTTGCACATTGGACTTTTTGTGCACAAAGTATCGTGTAGGTTCATTCGTCTGATCTGTGGCACAACAGGCTGAAATCACAGCTCCATACTCGCAGGACCAGAGGGGGAAAAATCTCATTTTTTAAACTTGTGCGTCTGGCGTGTGGCGCTGTTGATTGGGATGTCTGGGGGAGGTTTGATAGATGGCTTAATTGCGTGTAGTCCGAGCTGGGAGCGAGGGAGTGGGAGGGGGGAGGAGAGAAGACGAAGAGGGGAGAGAATAAGGGGCTTTAACGCTGCTGAGAGCGCTAAGTGGACTTGGGCCAGATTTGGCGAGAGGGCGGAGGGGGGTGGCTCTATTCGTCACTGATTTCAGGGAGATTTGCAGGAGCAGAGTGCGGATGGGGAGAGGGGTGGTGGGGGGGCTCTCACAGAGGGAACAAAGATTTATGAAATGATAGGTGGTCGAGCTTTGTTTGGCTGGACTGTTCCGCGCAATAAGTCCAAGGGTTTTCGTGTTTCCTCCACTTGAGGGACTATCGAGGCGCTCGATGGCCACCCGGTGCTCCACTTAGCGCCGCTGTGACACCCAGTGGAGCCTCTGTGTCCTGGACACTCAGTCTCCAGTGGATAAGCAGCTCCCCCCACTCTCTCTTCCTCTTCCTCTCTCTGTCAGTGCGTACTCGCCGTGCGTTCTGCATGCGTCAAGGGAGCACTGTGCGTAACGGGAGAGTCGTGCGTAACAGGAGACAGATTTCTCTCCATTTTGCGCCTGGATTCTGAGGACCACTGGTGGTGTAACGCTCACTTGCACGGACACTGACGGCGGGATCTCGATTTATTTCTCTACTTCAACATCTCCCGGCTCGTCTTCTTCTCCTCTCCCTCCCTCTCTCTCTCCCTCTCTCTTTTCTACGCCACTTGTACGTCAGAGCTGACATGACGACCGAGACCCCTCAGCAGCAGCTGGACCCTCCGCCTCCTCTGAGATCCAGCCCGGCGTCCGGCGTCCTGCACCCCGCCATGCTGAGCCCACAAGCCGCCTCGGAAAGTTCGTCCAGCGCCATTAAGGGGAAGAAGACGAGCTCCGGTTTGAGACGACCGGAGAAGCCCCCGTACTCCTACATCGCTCTCATCGTGATGGCGATCCAGAGTTCCCCCACCAAACGACTGACACTCAGTGAGATCTACCAGTTCCTCCAGGCGCGCTTCCCGTTCTTCAGGGGTTCATATCAGGGCTGGAAGAACTCGGTCCGGCATAATCTGTCGCTGAACGAGTGCTTCATCAAGCTGCCCAAGGGGCTGGGCAGGCCGGGGAAAGGCCACTACTGGACCATCGACCCGGGCAGCGAGTTCATGTTCGAGGAGGGCTCGTTTCGGCGCAGACCGAGAGGCTTTAGAAGAAAATGTCAAGCTCTGAAGCCCATGTACCGGATGATGAACGGGATAGGCTTCGGCACCTCCATCCTCCCGCAGAGTTTTGACTTTCAGGGTCCCTCCGCCACCCTCGCCTGTCACAGCAACGGCTACAACTTGGACATGATGAGCAATTCAATGGCCGGGGGGTATGATGGACTGAGCGGCGGCCACCACGTACCCCACATGTCCCCCAGCCCCGGGTCCACGTACATGGCGAGCTGTCCAGTGCCGCCGAACGGGGAGTACGGACCGGACAGCAGCAGCAGCCCCGTGCCCTCCTCTCCGGCCATGGCCAGCGCGCTGGACGGACACTCTCCATACGCCAGCACGTCTGCACACTGGGCGTCCTCCGGAGGGTCTCCCTACATCAAACAGCAGCCCCTCGCCTCCAGCAGCCCCGCATCCTCCGGTTTACACTCCGGCATGTCGCCTTACTCCCTGGAGCAGAGCTATCTCCACCAGAACAGCAGGGACAGTCACTCCAGCGACATTTCAGGTACACCTTCGAGACTCCTTCTGGGTGTTATGGTCGAATTATCTGACCGATCATAAAAATAAAACACCAAAAACAAACGAAAAACGATAAATTATCGTGTTTCTCACAAACTACAATATTATTTTATTCCTATATGCAGGAGTGTGAAATTAAAAACAGCATAATCACGTAAAATTAAGTGTTGATTACTGTAAATTAATCAAGATCCAAATCAGATATTTTTGTTCTTATGTAAAGAAAATAAAACTAAATTAGAGTTTGTATATTTACGCAGTGTTAAAGCTTTTTATTGAACTCCCATAAAGTGGACTCCACTCTAATTATTTACGTCTTAGTGGACACTAAACTTTCCTTTTGGATATAAGAAAATAATTTGCAATAGTTAAGTGAATGGATTATTAAATTAAAGCAGTTTAATCTTGATTATAATCCAACAGTTACATGTATTTTTATCCCACTGGAGGAAAATAAGAGTCTGCAGGTTTTAAGGCCAGATGGATCCTGAGATTTCAGCCCCAGAAGCTGCTAATGTTGGACCTGCAGGACGCCTCTTTCCTCCAAACTCTGCAGGATTTTCTAAACCACATCTGTGCGAGTTTTTTCACGGGATATTCTGCCTAATAATCAGATTAAGAAAAGCAGCTATTTAGTGATTCACCTCCCCTGTTCACGCTCATTTACTTTAACACAACACGCCGAGGCTTTACGAAAGTCTGGGGATTTCACCGAGGCGAGAAACCATGCTGGAGCCCCGAAAGGGTTCCAGAGGTTAACCAAACAAAGGCTGTGCAGGTCGGACCACACCGGCGGAGGATTTCAAACCGCCGAGTATCCACCAGAGACGGAAGGCCTTGTTAAACTTTACGCAGCGTCTTAATTGAGCCTGTAGGAGGAGGAGAAATGTGCCGGTGAGCGCGGAGCAGGCTCTCTCACACACTGGACTGACAGTCACTGAGGGTTATGTAGGGCAGCGAGCTGTGGCCCGGAGGATAAAGCCCGCTGTCTTCCCCTGAAAAACACTCACATCTGGAGTCCTTATGACCTTGACGCATGCAGCCACAGTCTCCCCATTTAGTTTTCTCTTTCTCAAATAGAGCCTCACTTACAGACACCAAATAATCTCAGGTTGAATGAAATTCTGAAAGTTTGGAGGAAAATCTCTCACGTAGTTTTGTGCCTTTAAATCTATTTTTGTCTTTAAAATAACCAGATTTTCAGTTAGTGTAACTCTGCTTTATTAAGGACGTTTGGCAAAAGGACAAAATTCTACAATTCAAACAAAATAAAGTTAATTCTCATCATAAAAGGAGAAAATACAAATTTGTTTGGGACTAAATAAACATTAATTTCTCTATAAAATAATAATAATAATGACAGATTATGGCCTGATCGGATTGAAGAGTCAATTTAGCACCGTTTTAAATCCACATCGTGAATTCATGAGATTATACTCAAGAATTTATATCAATTTATTTTTACTCATTCGTTTTAATTTCAAAGAAACTCTCTTTAATTTTTAATGTTTTGTTTTAGCCTCCAGCTGGTTTCCGTTTGCAGACACAGACCGATCACTTGAAACACTTTACAATTAATCATGTGTTGAGTTATCGCGATATGACATTTCCAGTAAACTCACTGCAAACGTCTTAATTTATCTCAGTAAATAATTAAAGTTATTTCACATAAAAAGTCATGCTCTTACAGTCAGCATGTTTCATATTTTACCTGCAGGGTGTAGGCCTGAGTCTGATGGTCACGCTTTTACACCATTTCGCTGCAGTCAGATGAAGCTGGAGAATTATTAGTCATGTGCAGTTAAATTGGTGCCAAATTATTGGTGAAAATTGATTAATTTTGGATTAAAGATGAACATTCTGCAGACACAAATATAATATCAATAGGATAGAGCTAATAGATGCCGATTAATTTCAGTTAATTGATCGGATTTTATATCGTTATTCGATAATTAACGATATTATCGCACATGACATTTATTAGGGATATCATGCCGATGTAACTTTACAAAGCACAAAAAATATCGCATTAACTGCCACAATATTAAAACCCTTGTATTTATGGTCCATCAATGCATCTTTTATGTTTATAGTTAATGTAACTGGTGAGATTATTAGATTATTAGATTATTAGAAGGCCTCACATTTTATTTTAAGGATATTTGTCATTTTTTTACACCGATTTTTGCTCCAAACAGACTTTTAACTACAGATACACTGATTTTATGGGTTTAATTTCATTCACAACTCGGTTTGAAACACCAGAAATCTAAAAAAAAAAGGTGTTTATTGGTGATTGATGTGTGCACCTATTGATCCACATGTCTCTCTCTCTCTCTCTCTCTCTCTCTCTCTCTCTCTCTCTCTCTCTCTCTCTCTCTCCCTGCAGTGGGGATCCCTCGCTATCAGAGCCACTCCTCGGTGTGCGACAGGAAAGATTTCGTCTTAAACTTTAACGGCATCTCCTCCTTCCACCCCTCCGCCGGTGGATCCTACTATCACCATCACCACCACCACCACCCGCAGAGCGTCTGTCAGGACATCAAGCCCTGCGTCATGTGAGCTCGCGCGCGCGTGTGCCCACTCTGGACTCCATAGAGAGAAAGAAAGAAAGAAGGAAAGGAAAGGAAGGAAAGGACGCTGACAGTCAAACTGCAGCTCCGTCTCTACAAAGCAGACATTTACTTCTCTTTTTGTTTTTTTGTTTTTACCTGTTTTTTTGAATGTTTGGAGGATTTCTACCTGGATGTCTCGCGCTCTGTGTCTTCCTCCGACATGCAGCCAAAGTAGCTTTTTGATTTTGTTGGACTTTTACATTTGAAGAAACTGAATGAAGAAACCCCAGAGGCCTTTAAAAACAAAACCACTTTGCCTGTTTGAACCCTGACAAGCGTTTTCTTCTTTAAAAGAAGTTTCAGAAACACGACTTTTTAATGTGTTTGCTCCTGTAACACGTGCAAACAATTTATATTCTATGTAACTTTATTCTTTATCCTGTAACTACACACCTGACGCTTTAGGCTAACATGAACTGCAACAAACCTTGCACTTATTGTATAATCTCCCTGCCTACTTTTGTCTTTGAAAAGGCTTCAATAAAGCTGATTTATATTTTAGGCTACATTTACCAGACCTCTGTCTTTACCTGCACTCAATGGCTCCAGAAATGGGATTTAAAGGAGTTACAAAAAGCAGATACATGTAAAAAAACTGAAAATGTCAATCCAGTTAGGGAAACCTTTACTTTTGCGTGTCTTTAACCTCCAACTTTACTCAAACTGAATTATCTGGAAGCTTAAATTCATCCTCAGAATGAAACATAACAAGAAGCTGCACAATTTCATCGTTTTGGAGATGAATTATTCCCCATAAACTCAGTGTGATAATCATCTTTCATCCAAACAAGCAAGAAAAATGAAGAATTGCTTTCTTCATCTGCATGTTGCATATCTTAATGTTTTAAGATGAGGCTGTCAGCTGATGTTTAAGAGCAGGAAAAACGATTTTGGGTTTGTTTTGATGCAAAGAAAAGTGCTGCAAATGCAGGTTAATGTGCAAAATGTTAAAATCTGCGGGCAGACAAAGAATCTGTGATATGGAGCAAATTCACTCCTTCATTTCGGTTGATTTATCACTTTATATCATTGCAGTATTCAAGAATATAACCACACATGGTGTTTATTTCTCTCAGATCTTGCAGGCCTGACTTTTAAACCTCCTCTGCAGCTGAAACGTTAAATTTCTGCTCATTTAAAGACTCTAATAATGAGGAAATCATGAACTAGAGAGCGGCTCGCTGCTGGAGGAGGAATATTTCTGCTTCTGGATTATTTAGATGAGAATATTTAAGGTCTGATTTCTTCTTAAACTCAGATCTATCCTCATCATTGTTTTCCTCCAACATTAACTAACAGGATAATGACGTAATGTGCAGTATGTTGACAAAGCTCTTCTTCATGATGAATATTCTGAGTGTAATTTAAATGGAGAATCCCTTTAGTCAGAAGAGTTTCTGTTTTTGTGTGCAGTTTAAAACCCAAACTGAAAACGTATTCAGATCATTTTAAAAACAGACTTTCTTGACGTCTTTATGAGTAAAACTGTCAAATTGGAATTTTTTCTTACATGCACGTCCAAAAATTTTGCAGCAAAACAGTCTGAGAGGGAATTTTTTAAATACAGGACAGCTTCTGTCAAATATGATTTATTATCGTACTCTGAATATTCCTGAATTTGTTTATATTTTTGTGGCGTCAAACTGCTTCTGATGCTTATTGGATGATTAAATCTAAAACAAGGACTCACGTCAATAATTCATATTTGTTATGTCAGTAAAATAATCACGAGACAATGGAAACTGTCGAATAATGAAGTGGGGTAAAGTGATATGATCGTCTCCTCTGAGATGTGAACTGTTATAGGATCGTATTAATCTGAAAAAGTCCAGTAAAGTTTGCAAACCTCCAAACTGAACCAGAGAAATAGACTTTCATTGCAGATGCAGATTGAGTGAAATAAAGCAGGAGTTCATGCTTTAAAACCACAAAAGCTTATCGTTAAAGCCTCATTTTTGTGCATGTATGAAATAAGGTGTGAGGATAAAAAATAGGAAAAATCAAAACCATGAAAACTTTCAAAAACAGAGCGGAAAGTCAAGAATCGGATCCCTGAAAAACCTGATGCTTCACAGTTTGAATATTTCCACATTTCTCCTGATTTACCGCCTCCTCCAGCCTGTCACACGCAGCATCCTGGTGCTGTTATTTTCCATGTGCACATCCAGGGTTGCAACATCTGAAGACGGCGTATAAACAAATGAAAAGACAGAGCCTGCACGTCTATGGAAATGCAACAGAGTGGTATTTTTAGAGCGCAGTAAACAGATCTGACTCGGAGGAGCTGCCTCGTCACACAAACAGAGAGCGGATCAGTGTTTTCTGCTGCTCTACTTTTGTCTACAGGGCCTGTTTAGTCATGATTCTCATGCAGAAACTCTCTTTACTAACATGCAAATAAAACTCTGGCAGAGGCTGCTCCTCTCCAAATCACAGTTTCTTAAAATGCACCGTTGACTCATTATTTGTGCCTTAAATGCAACATCTGAGAAGCAGTTTTCTCCGGGGTGTTTAATATCTGTTACTGGAGTGTTTATGCTCTTGATAAAGTGAACTATTATGGGTTTTAAACTCCTCCTCTGGGGCGCAGACCTTTCCTAATCTCTTCTCTCGTTTGCAGGGAGAGATGATAACGATTCTCACTCCTCAGAAATCACAAATGAAAACCACATGTGAGACTTTTCACAACTTTTTTTCTCATTTACACCAGCCTTTACATACGGATTAATGATTATTTAATCCTCTGATATGATGCAATAATAATGGAAGTTTCAGCAGCTTCCAGGGGATCCTAATTCAAACGTCATCCCGCGTATTTATATAAGCTGCATGTACACAAGCTCCACATTCAGCGGTTCAGGGCCCAACTGGAGTGTTTAGTAAAGAGGCCTCCCTAAGGTGCTTTGAAACTCTATAACCTTAAAAGAGTCACACAGGATTAGTAATGGAAAAAAGACGGCTTCAGCGGTTTATGCTCCAAAATATATTTTCATATTTCACCAGACAACAGAGTCCTGTCTCATTTCCTGGATGCAGCCCTCCATGATGAAAAGTCACTCTAAGTGGCCCTGCAGCTGCTGGATTTTCCATGACAAGACTCCTGAGGAACTCACTATGTGGTGGAGTGCAGCGCCATCTAGTGGCAGAGACTGTACAGCTGGGATTAGTCCTGAAGTTGGACAAGATTCAGGAGGACATGGGACTCTGATGGACTGACCCATTTAACAGAAACAGAAGCGAAAGCTAACGTAATGTTAGAGGGGAAACAGACCTGTGATGAAAACTTAGAGTCAAATCTGATTCAAAGACTCGCTGTTGGTTCATAAGATTAAACTTGACGTAATATTCTGTTTGTCTGCAGCAACAGCCTGTTTCACAGACTTTAGGGGAATGTAAACTTAGAGAACGACTATTTCTGAAAGACATCATTCAGAGCCAGGACCAGGTCCAGAGTGTTTGAGCTTCATGGTCAAATACAGGCGGCCTTAATTTTTAAAACTGATTTATCTGAAAATACTTAAAGAGGGAAAAAGCTTTCATGTGAATTAGTGCAGATTTTAGTGAAGAAATTTTACATTTGAAGCAAAAATAAATAGTTTAAAAACTGATGAATGGTCTTTACTGGATTGTTTTATGCTCAAGTTTTTGTAGCAGCACTCTGGATTACATTATTGCTTTTTGTTTAAAAACTGCCCGATTTTAATTGTCTGTTTTTGATTCTATATGATTTTATTTTTTTCTTGATTTGAATTTTAATTGCTTGTTTTAATGATTTTTAAATGTTGAAATAAATAAATGAAGTTGCCTTATGGAGTGAAGTGATAAGGGATCTTGAGAGACCATCTCAGCTTCTGTATATTTCCTTGTCAACAAGCCTGTTTTATATGATCCTACACAAACCACATAACTCTTTTTCATTTTTAAAAATTATACATGTTTTGGTTTTATATAATGACTCTTTGAGATGAGATGAGATGAGATGAGATTAAATGACATAAAATGAAATGACATGACATGAGATAAGATGATGAGATGATGAGGTGAGATTACATGATATGACATGACTCGGGGGCGGCAGTAGCTCAGGAGGTAGAGCGGTCGTCCAATGACCAGAAGGTTGGCGGTTCGATTCCCCCCCTAATCCAAGTCTGTCCGTTGTGTCCTTGGGCAAGACACTTAACCCACCTTGCTCCCAGTGTGTGTCCTCCACTGGTGTATGATTGTGAGTGTTGTGTGGTGGTGGTTGGAGAGGCCGTAGGCGCAGAATGGCAGCCACGTCTCCACCACCACCAAAAAAAGTGTGACTGTGTGAGCGAATGAATGATGTATCCAATGTAAAGCGCTTTGAGGGTCTCTGATAAAGCGCTATATGAAATCTGATGCATTATTATTATTATTATTATGACATGAGATGAGAATTTATTCCTCCCATGGTGGGGAAATTTGCAGTGTTACAGCAGTAAAGGATCAGCAGAGCAAACATAGAAGAATAAGTACACTCATCATGCACAGAGCGCATATTTAATTTTAAAAAGTTAACTTATTGTTATCTATATTAGATATTTAATATTGATATGATAAATCTTTATTTAGTCCCCTGACATCCGCAGTCCTGTGCTGCAACAATGACAAACTTTCATTAGTGGTGCCGTTTTTGATTTGTTCAAGTGTGACCTTTAGAAAAAACCAAGATAATATAAAACCGAAACCTTACTGGTATCTTATTGGGAGAAATAATTTTGCAAAATGTGTAAAAATATTTCACATTCATGATTTCTTTGGCCTTTTTGCCGTTAAGGAACTTTATACAGAGATTGAATTTAGCACCTAAGGTAATGTGTATGTGTGTGTGTGTGTGTGTGTGTGTGTGTGTGTGTGTGTGTGTGTGTGTGTGTGTGTGTTTCAGCATCACTCACAGAGTAAATGAAGCTACCCCGTCCTTCTTCTTTCCTCTTCCTCCACTAGAGGGCGCTAGCTTGATTTTGAAGGTTTTCTTCTTTCCTCCAGTGTGTTTCTCAACCGACTCAGTCAGGCAGTGAAGTCAGACGCTGTGAAATAAAAACAACAAGGAAGAGTTAAAAAAAAAAAGGTGTACTTCCCAGAATGACCACTAGAGGCTGGCTCCAAAAGTGAGTCAGTCTTAATCGGCCCAATGCAAAAATGTCTAACTCCTCTCTATTGAGTTGTTTTGAATTATAGAGCTTAAATGTATGCTTGGATCCATCTCACTCATATCACATCTATATTCTCATGCACAGATTCAGGAGACAGGACTGTAACAGAGGGACGAAAAGTTATTTTAGCAAAAACATGATTCTACGAAGTTCTAAAAATGTTGGTTTGCTCCTTTATTAAATAACTTTCTGTGTTTCTACATTAACAGAATCTCACTCTTATGAAGTGTGTGTAAGTTTCAGTACCTCATAGGCATCTGTGTCCTCTTTTTCCTGACTAATCATCTCTTTTGGTGCCTTCTCCTTCTTTTTCTCCTTCTCTTTCTCCTTCTCTGTCTCCTCCGCCTCCATCTAACTGGGTTAAGAACTTGTAGTTCCTTCAACATCTGTCTCAGCTCTGCTCTCCAGATTCCTCCGTTTCAGACCTCCTGCTGTCGTCCACATTTTCATCGTGTACCTCTGTGAAGACATGTCTTAAACTCCCTCAGATGGATGAGGATTATTACAGAGAAGATGAGTCTCTTCTGTCAGTTTCCTGATATGTTCAGATGGTGTCCTCAGTAAAGCTTGAGTGCTCTCCTTTTCACGTCTTTAGGCATTAAGCAAGAAACCCTGTGATCCATCGGTCTTATCTGGACTGTAGATAAAATGTGAATACAACAAAGGTGACCTTAAACCTGCATTCTTTCCAATAACCAGCAGGGGGAGCCTCCACTTCAGCAGCTTCAAGGGGAAATGATGCTAAGCTTCCTGTGCAAGTTGTGAATTTATCTATGAGATTTAATTTTAATTTTGTAAATTACAGTCAGTTCAGACTGAGACTGCAGTTCATTGTTTCACGTCTCACTGATAATCAGGTCTAAATAAGGAGAATTTATTTCATGACAAACCCAAAGACAGTTTTCAGTTGACTGTTTCTGTCACTGAAAGATAATTTAAGTGTTTTCATTTACAGAGCAGGTCAGAGGAAGCTGACATCAGATCTGTCATCCTCATTTACTCTTCTGCGGTCTCCTCTGAAAGATGAACATCTAAGGTGAGTATGAATGTGTTTCTATGTGTATAAAAGTGAGAATGAGATCAGAAACAGGAGGTGGAACTTTTAACTCTGCAGAAATTGTGGTGATTGCATGAGGAAAAAGTGAATTATGGGTAATTTTCTCTGCAGAGATGGGTGCATAAAGACAGGGGTGTCAGACAAAAGTGAAAAAGACTTTTGAGCTTATAGGTTCTTAATCCTGCTATAGAAACCCACACTGATAAGAGAGTGAATGACTCTTCATATGGAGGGGCAGATTCTTGGTGCCACATCCCTGCATAAAGGGCTCAGAAAGTCTACATGACTAAATCCACTTTATGCCAATGCAGAGAACCTGTATGAGAGACGGATACAAAGACCCAGCAGCTGCAGTTCGGTCTGTAGAGACCACAGAGGGTCACGGGTTTGAGAGTTGGTCCAGACCGAAGCCTGGAAATAAAGTTAGTAGATGGAGAAGTGCGACACCTGTCTGATCTGTACTGGTGGATGTCTATAGATCAGTGTTTGTGCATGAATGTGCCTTTCGTCGTCGTCGTCGTTTTCTTCTTCTTCATCCAGATATAGGTCACAGGGGCAGCAGCTTCAGAAGGGAAGCCCAGACGGCCCTCACCCCGGCCACTTCCACCAGCTCATCCTCCGGGGGGATTCTCAGGCCAGGCGAGAGATATAATCCCTCCACCTGGTCCTGGGCCGGCCACAAGGGACATGTCCGGAAGACCTCTAACAAGAGGCGTCCAGAAGGCGTCCTGACCAGATGCCCGAACCACCTCAGCTGACTCCTCTGGACGTGGAGGAGCAGCGGTTCTCCTCTGAGCTCCTCCCGAGTGTCTGAGCTCCTTACCCTATCTCTAAGGCTGAGCCCGGACACCCTGAGGAGGAAACCCATTTCAGCCGCTTGTATCTGCGATCTTGTTCTTTCGGTCATTACCCAAAGTTCATGACCATAGGTGAGGATCGGCACGTAGATCAACCAGTAAATCGAGAGTTTCACCTTACAGCTCAGCTCTTTCTTCACCATGACAGATCGGTTAATCATCCGCATCACTGCTGACGCCGCTCTGATCCGCCTGTCGATCTCCTGCTCCATCCTACCCTCACTCGTGAACAAGATCCTGAGATACTTGACCTCCTCCACTTGAGGCCAGACCTCTCCTCCAACCTGGAGAAGGCGATCTACCTCTTTCTGACTGAGGACCATGTCCTCGGACTTGAAGGTGCTGATTCACATCCCAGCCGCTTCACACTCGGCTGTGAACCGCCCCAGCAAGAGCTGAAGGTCACTGCTCGACGAAGCAAGAAGAACCACATCATGAATGTGCATTTCCAACCTGCAAATACCAACCCCTCATAGAATGAAGGGGGTCTCAGGTGGTCCACCAGGGGGCAGAGTTCAGTATGAAGGTTTTGGTCTGCTCTCTACTTAAAGTAACTTGAAGTTTGAATCTCGAACAAGCAGGAAAAATGACTTTTTATCGTCTAATCCAGACGATTCTGCATCTCTAATAACCTGCACATGAGCTGATTCCCCTTTCGCTGTGAAATTAAACCTCAAATTAAACTTATCTGTTATTCTGCAGGATTTATTCTCGCTTTAGCCCATTTCAAATTGATTTTTCAACGTCTAACAGCTCCTCTGAATTTCTGAAAAAGGATTTTAATCTGTAAAACTATCCTGGCGTGTTTTCTGACATCTTGTCTGGAGTTCAGAGGAGCCTCTTTTAAACAGTTTACAGAACAAAAAGTGAAGCAAACATCCCCAAATATGTCTCCAGGGTCAGCTAATCTTGATCTGATTTGAAGTTGCGTGCAAACAAAGAGAGATAAGACAGCTCGTGTGTCATCTTACGAGGAAATTATGCCATTCATCAGGGCCTATAAATCAGAAACAGCTCAAAGTGAAGGAGAGCTTTCTCAGCCGTTTCTCATGGCCTTATTTGGATTTGCAGAAACCTTTTTCTCGCTGCTCCGTCGTCTGCGCTGAAATACCGGGTTTTTGGGGGGTTACAAAAATGCAAAAGCTGCCATTCTGTGAGGCGCTCTGTGTCCTTGAGAACAGCTTCACCCTCCTCCAAACCAGTCACAGCCGGAGCAGCAAACACAAGATTAATGTTCTGCACATGGATGATTGACGGCTATTTATTTGAGAACCAATTCCAATGTTCTCGTTGGGTGCACGACTTTGAGGTCCCGAGTTATTTTGGAAATCTGTCTGTGTTTAATTAGGTACCTAATATAAACACTGACCATGAAGTTCCTGCAGAGAAAAGTTGAACTTCTCCAGAAAAAGTCACAAACAGATGAAATCAGACGATCTCTGCTGTTGGTCGTTTGATGCTTTAGAAGAGAATTTAACAGTTTAGAGATTCAGGAAATCTGGTTAAAAACTAAATTGTAGTTTTTTTTTTTCTTTTCCTGCTGACGTTGATGCTCATCCTGTGTGTGCATCAGTTCAGCAGCAGAGGGCGCTGTCTTACCATTAACTGCTAATTTGAGCTGGAACGACTTATATGAGGATCAGGATGATTTCACACAGAGATCTCATCTGATTCTGATAAATGTGTTTTTGATTCATAGAATTTAAGCAGGAAAGTGAGATTTTATTGCAAACCTTGGATGACCTCGTTGTTCAGAAATATTTAAAGAGGAATATTTGGGGTCATTAAAGCGTTTCAAAGCCGTTCTAAGTGGGACCAGTCAGGGTCTGGGAGGCAGACACCCTCTCTTGTTTTAGGAACTTCAGGATCTCATTTTTGATAGAGGTTAGAGTTCAGGACCCTGAGCTCTCCTCTCTCTGTCTGCATGTCATCAACTTCAGATCTTTTCAGGGTTCTTATGGAAAGTATAGATATTAGTTTTTTTGGATGTATGAGTGATGCTTTCTGTTTGATCAAATATATATTATTATAAAAATAAAATACAGTAAAAACATTTTAGTGCTGCTGCTGATGTGGGCCTGTGATTCTTACAGGATTTCTGTGAAATGTGCTCTGAACATCCGAAGAGCAGGTAGTTGTGGAGCAAAACAATGATGCAAAAAAGAACAGAGAAGGGACAAAAAGAAGAGAAAAAAATGCCAAGTTAAAGGTAATGTTCGCATGTCAGGGAATGTTAATCAAAGAGAGTTGTGAAGGGGTGTGACTGATCAACAATCAATATTATTGGCAGAAACAGAGGGCCCCAAAATCGAATTTTGCTTAGAGCCCCATTGAGGGTTGGGCCCAAAGCAACTGAAAGTTTGTTCTCACTTATGGAAGGAATTGAGTTTTTCTTTTTCTGTTACAGTTTGATTTGGTCCTGAAATAAAACCATCTTGACTTTATTCTTTTATTTATGTTTTTTTATTTATTTATTTTCACTATTTTTAAGCCAATGTTTGTTTTTTATTTTTAACTCCAGGAAAACGCTGAATGTAGAAACACTGTTGCGTATCCTTTCTGCACTTTTACATTTTGGCCACTAGGGGGCAGGGCTGTGTCACACAATTACAGATCTATCACTTTAAAACACAGGGGCCTTCATTCTTCATGAGCAGCAGCTTCAGTCTCATATTAGCAGAGAATGTGGAATAATTTTCGTTTAGATTGAATTTAATTTAACTCGAATACATCATTTTAAAATAAAAGTTTTATTCTTTTTTTATAGTGAGAACTGAATGTTTCAGTTTTCACTGAAATGATTTGGAAGAACTGGATAAAATCTGCTGAAAATAAAGTCGTTTTTGTTTTTTCAGACCTGAATAATAAAGAGTCGATCCTCTCTAACCTCATGTTTCATGATCAGCTGCTTCACTCCTTCATTCTCCTTCATCCACCTGCAGGTTGTTGATCCGGTCTCCTTCAGGCCTGCTGCTGGATCCTCCCTCCGGACCCCTCGGTGTGTGTGGCTCTCAGAGGGCTCGCGGACAGGTGAGGGTCCTCCTCGTGTGCTGCATCTGTTTCCTGATGAGAGTCCGGACTGTGACACATGTTAATGAAGGAACAAAGAGCGGCATGAGAGAAAACACACACAGGTGAGAAAAGATGATCCTCAGAGGACTGTGGGAGTTTAGATTTGAGGTGTGAAAGCTGAGACATTAACACGAGAAAGAGGAGATAAGAGACTTGTTGTTTTTAGGGTTTATTTCATTATTCCTCTGACTTTAAGATGTGGATTCACTCCTCTGAACGGTCCTGATAAGATCCTCTGCAGACTTCAGATTGATTTTGATTTCTAAGACTAAAGACAAGATTGAAACCATCATCAGTTTTAGTCTGAGGTTAAGTGTGGTGTTAGTAGAAGTAGCAGTAGTCGTTTATTCAGTCATGACAACACCAAATATTGTTCACAATATTGACATTTCACACTAAATCACTAAATAAAGAATCATGAATTGAATATTGACTGAAAAGGCAGAAGCAGACTGATTATTAAAGTCTATCCTGTAACTTTTTAGTCTCCGACCTCCAGAAAAGCAAAGAAAAAAACACAACTACATATTTGATAGTACTTAAAAGCTTCAAAAACAGCTTTACAAAACATTTTCTTAAAAAACAAAAATGACGTGACATGTTTTTAGATTGATGTTGGCATCATTCCACAATTTAACTCCACTTTTCAGACGTTTTTTAGCTTTTTGTTCAGTAAATTTGAGATATTTTTTCTCTCTTTGTGTTAATCTCTCACAGGCCTCTAGTTTTTTTTTTCCTGGAGCTAAATTCTTCTCCTCTTGAGTTTGACATTCTTGCCGTTTGCAAGATTTGATAAATTGGGTAAGCTTATTAGGGAAGTGAGCATGCGCGTAAAAGAACATCATTAGCTGAAAATGAAGAAATGTGCTAAAGCTTTAAAAATGATCTTAGATTTTTCGAAATCATCCAAAATACTTTATATCTTATCTTTAAGAAAAATATCTAAATAAAATATAAAACTTCTCCAGAAACAGACCTTTAAACATTTTAAATATTGATAATAATGAAAGTCATGACTTGATCACGAAAAAAAATTAAAAATAAACTTAAAAAATCTATTTTCTCTTCTAGGTTTTTGTTTAATCTTCGACTTTAATTCCATATTTGTTTGAAATCAAACTATCTGTGCCATCTTCATCAGATTAATCATCCTAATCTCATCCTAATCTGATGATCTCCATCTTTATTTTTGATCCATTATTTTCTCCATCAGGCTGAAATCACATCCATGTTGTCTCAGTTCTCAGTTCTCGGACCTCTGCAGGTCTGGGTCTGGCTGCAGGTCTTTGATGACTCTGTTAACACCCCGTTCAGTGTGAATGACATTTGGAGGTCTTCATCCTCACTCAGGGGGACCCCCTTCTCCTCCTTCTCACCCATCCCGACCAAACGATCTTCATTTAAGCTTTAATGAGTTTCCACACACACCGCCCACTCTCTTTCATGTCCGTGTGTTTATTCAGACTCACACACTGATCGCTGATTGATCTGCTCTGATTGGAGGTTTTAGCAGTTTTAAATCATTAATCTGTGGAGTGTGAATTCAGAGAGAGGCCTCGTTTGAAGGCCTTAATGAAGGGCCTAAAGTAAATCTGCTCTCCGTGGACTTTTTTAGGACCTGCTGTATCTCAGATTCTTCATTTTTACGCACAGCTTTTCTATCCTGGAGTTGGAGGGGAAGGACTTGACCAATTTGTCCGGACATTTACGAGCTCTTAACCCACAAAAATTTACTTTCTCTGCCTGTTCAATAAGTTATTTTAGACTCTAACAAGGTGATAAATCAATACAAATAAAACATGAGCAACAATGTGGGTCATTAAGTGAATTTGTCAGAATTCTGGGCACACCCTGAGCTGCATTTTAGTAACTCTGTCTAAACTGAGGAGGAGGAGAGGAGGAGGAGGAGGAGGAGAAGAGGAGGAGGAGGAGGAGGGTGTAGTAGCTTTTGTCGCCATGTAGCTTTTCCAGGTTCATTTCGTCCTCCAATTGGATGATGGAGCACACATTCGGGGAGGAGCAGCCCGAGCAGCCAAAAGGCAAGAAAAAATGTGAAGGCTGAAAAAAAAAAAAACTTCCTCGCTGTGTAGACTCGTGCTCCTCCAGACTCTGCCCTCTCACTCTCCAAATGCTCACTGCGCGCGCTCTCTCCGGCTCACGGTGCCGAGCTGAGGCTTAAAGAAGAGACTCGAGCAGAAAGAGAAACAGGAACAGTAACCGGAGCACGCGCCGAGGCACTGAGAGTCGCTCGCGGAACAAGTTTGGGGAGCTTTTACGCACAGGAGCGCAGGATGCAGGCGCGCTACTCCGTCTCCAGTCCCAACTCTTTGGGAGTTGTTCCGTACATCAGCAGCGACCAGAGCTACTACCGGACCGGCGGGGGTTACACCGGGATGCCTGCACCCATGAGCATGTACTCCCACGCGGCCCACGACCAGTACCCGGCCAGCATGGCCCGGGCGTACGGGCCGTACACCCCGCAGCACCAACCGAAGGACATGGTGAAACCTCCGTACAGCTACATCGCCCTCATCACCATGGCGATCCAGAACTCCCCCGAGAAGAAGATCACTCTGAACGGGATCTATCAGTTCATCATGGAGAGGTTCCCCTTCTACAGGGACAACAAGCAGGGCTGGCAGAACAGCATCAGGCACAACCTGTCCCTCAACGAGTGCTTCGTCAAAGTGCCCCGGGACGACAAGAAGCCCGGGAAGGGCAGCTACTGGACCCTGGATCCGGACTCCTACAACATGTTTGAGAATGGCAGCTTCTTAAGACGCCGGAGGAGATTCAAAAAGAAGGACGTTCAGAGGGACAAGGACGACAGGCAGAGTAAAGACCCCTCTGTCCGCACCCCGGGCAGGGAGCAGGAGCCGGGGCCGGGGCAGGGGCAGGGCTCTCAGCCGGTGCGGATCCAGGATATAAAGACTGAGAATGGGACTTCAACTCCTCCGCAGGCCGCTTCTCCCACCCTGAGCGCCGTCCCGAAGATCGAGAGCCCGGACAGCAGCAGCAGCATGTCCTCGGGCAGCCCGCACAGCGTGCCCTCCACCCGCTCTCTCAGCATGGACGGACCGGAGCACCACCACGGCCAGGCCCCGGCCCAGGGCTTCAGCGTGGACAACATCATGACCACCCTGCGAGGGTCCCCGCAGGCCGAGCTCTCCCCGCCTCTCATCGCCTCCTCGCGGACAGGTATCACCCCCTCACTGTCGCTCAACTACTCCCCCAACCAGACCTCCACGTACAGCTCCACCACCTGCAACCAGAACGTCATCTCCACGAACTCCAACGCGACCTATCACTGCAACATGCAGGCCATGAGCCTGTACGCGGGGGACCGCTCCTCCGGAGGACACCTGGCCCCGTCCACCACGGTGGAGGACGCTCTGCCCGACTATTGCATCACCACGACCACCGCGTCCCCGCTCGGACATGGAAACCTGAGCCAGGCGGGCCAGGAAGGCCACCACGCGCACCAGGGACGGCTTGCTTCCTGGTACGGAGACCTGAGCCACCTGAGTCCGAGTTACCCGGCGCAGCAGCAGAACTTTCACTCGGTTCGGGAGATGTTTGAGTCCCAGAGGATCGGTCTGAACGGCTCCCCTGTGAACGGGAATAATAGCTGTCAGATGGCCTTCCCGTCCGGTCAGTCCCTGTACCGAACCTCAGGAGCTTTTGTTTATGACTGCAGCAAGTTCTGAGAGCCTCCCTGCCTCCTTTAAATTAATAACTCTAATATATGTTTCTATATTTTTTGTACTTTTTATTCTCACCCGTATGGACATAAAGACATTCAGACTGTTTTTGTTCTTGTCCAGGCGTGTGTAAGACCACCAACACGTAAGTTCCCCTCCTCCTCCTCCTCCTCCTCCTCGTCGTCTCACTTTGAGAACTTGTTCATAAAGATGCTCAGATACCAGCTTCTGTAAATTATAACCTAATATAGTAATTTATTTTGTAGGAAAAGGGGAGTGGTTGGATGTTGAGGACCAAACACTTTAAAGTTTTCCCTGCAGTTTTCTTCTCGCTCCTTTTGTCTCTCCCTCTTCTTGTATAGAAGTGAAGAGGGGACTGTGTAGTCTGTTACTGACTTATTTTATTCTTTTGTCTTATTTGTTAAATAACTATTTTTGAAGGCATTACCTTTTTTGTTTGTTTAATAAAGTGCCGTTTATTTGATTTTAATTGGAGTGATTTATTAGAGTTAGTAACGCTAAAAATGAAATTGTAGTTTATAAAGAGGGGTTGGTTTGTTTTTTACTGAAAATCCAAAATTGGGTTTTTAAAATATCAATTTAAAAAAAACAAGCTGATATTTTAGGTTTACGAGAAATTCTATCTCAAAGTTAGGAGAGGTTTTCTGGCCCGTTTTTACGCTGCAGAGTCCAAACTCAACCGCACAGCTGAAGCTTTTTTCACTCCTGACACCAAACTGTGAGGAAAATATTGACGTTAATTTCAGAAGCTCGAGGCCAGCCTGCAGGATGTCATATTTGCACCTTTCAGGTGTAAATGCAGCCGGTAAATAAACACGTGTGGCAGCAGCAGCTCAGACCGTCTGACTGCTCTGTGTGTGTTTGTGATGGGAGCACTTTGGATGCAGGAAAAGGCCTCAGAGAAGATTTTGCTGCCCGAGCAGATAGCAGAGGTGACTGATGGGATCTGTAGTAGAGTAGAAGAAGTCGTGGTGCAGACTGTTTTACGTTTTGAGGCCTGCAGCCCTGACTGATTGGAAGAGCACATGGCTGCTGCTGTCAGGACAAACTTGTTTATTTGTCCTAAAACGTCCTTATTGACCAGGGTCAGACCCAGATTCAGGATGAGAAAAACTCCTCATCAAGGCTGTTCCTTTTACTCCCTTAATTTTGCAAGCAGCACGCAAATAATTAAGTACAATTATTAGAATTTTATGATTTTATTTTACTCTGAACTAAGGAATTAATATTAGAAAATTAAAGAAAGATGTTTAAGGTTAAAACCGGAATTTATAGATGATAAGGGCCACACAAAATATGGAGACTAAAAACTATTAATCCGTAACGCTCATAATGATAAAATAATAATAATAATAATAATAATAATGATGATGAGATTAAACAGCTCCAAATGCGTAAAATCCTCACGCGTCTTTTTACGCACGAACCTTTTTAACTTTAATTTTATTTTTACGCGTTTGTGCGTTTTTGGACACTCAGGCCTGAACCTTCTTTTCGTTCTCTAGCTGGCATTGTGGCACCAAGTGTGTGTCTGTCTGTATGTATGAGTGTGTGTGTGTGTGTCTGTGAGGTCAAGCAGGCGGTGAAAGTGTAAACGTGACTGTCAGTTTGTGACCCGCGTGGATGAGATTTTAATGAGTCAGGGAGACTCAAAATTCCTGCGCACAAACGCTCCCCCGGGGCCAGCAGTCAGATGAGTCAACCCCCGGTGAAAGTACCGTAAACAATGCGCTCCTCCTCCCCTGCACCTATCACAGGAGGGTCAGCTGGAGAGACGCGTAAAATCACAACCACGAGAGCCGTCCTCGATATTAATAAAAGGAGGATTATCGCGTGTAAACAAACGTCTGCGTGATTGATGCGGCTCTTCAGGGTCAGGAAGGAAAGCGCAGACACGGCTGTGAATCATTTTTCATCATAAGGACGAGACAGAGGGAGGTGATGGAGGTCAATGGAGAGGATGTCAACAATGCACTTTAGGGAAGTAAAGAGAGAAGCCTGCCTGTCACTACCGTGTGTGGAGCAGCTTCACGGGGCTGCAGAGCGCGCGGATCAGGCCGCTCGGTTGTTGTTGTGAGAGTTTATAGTTTATGGACCTGCGGAGTAGAAATGAAAAGAGTCCCCGAGGAGCAGAGGAGGCCTCAGCACAATGGAAAGGCTGCCAATGCGCGTAAAAAGCGCATAAAACGCGCATTGAAAAGGCCTCATTAAGGACTTATGAGGTTCTTACGGGGTTATTGTGTCAGCGAGCAGCAGAGTCAAATACACAGAGCCTGAAGGCAACACACACACACACTCATGTCTTTTGTTACAGAATGATGAGCTTTACAAACTGTGTGTGTGCGTGTGTATGTGCGTGTGTCAATATGGAAGAAGAGCAACCTGATAGCGCTTATCTCCTGCTGCAGGTTTGGTGCGTAAACTCTCGGTCACCTGAACACGTTTGAGATTTGGGATTTTATTTAAAGATGTACAGAGATGATTTTAAATATTAGAGAAGATTTTAGGAGCAAGTTTGAAAATTACACTTTGATTTTAGGCGGTTTAGAGAGACTCGAACCTGCAGTTTGTTTGACTGCTGGAACCTGAATTGTAGTTTTAGTCGATGCGTAAATGTGGGACACTAACACAGATAACAGCCTTTTGTTTTTCTTCACTTTATTTTGCTTCTGCGTTTTCTGAATTACTGCATTTATGATGAATTTATGAGGGTTTATCAGCCGGTTAAAGTCAAACTGGGAGAGTTTAACCTCCATGTTTTTTTCTTCTTCTGCTGTGTCTCCTCTTACTCTTCAGCGTGGTGCAGGTTTGTGTGTGTGTGTGTGTTCAGCTGGGGACTGTGTAGTTCAAGTACACTAACATAGATGTCTCTCTTCTTCTCGTGCTGCGTTTAAGGATCTAAATTAATCTGTAAAATCTCACTTATTTAGTTCGCACCTTAAATAATTAAACAACAGCTTTAAAAAGTAAAATACAAAGTTTTTACGTTTGTATTTTTGATGCGTAATTGACGGTTTTGTGTTATTTTTTCCGTTTTTGTTCATCCAACTACCTTTTAATTTACAGTTACACTTTATTATAATGAATCTTGACTACATTATCCTTCTTACACAACTAAATAACTGGTAAGTTCACATTAATAATTCGTGTCTTTGACAAGTTTACTGATTGACGTCTGGGATGTAAAATAATGAGGTTACTGAGCGTTACGCATGCGTCTTAACTGCAACATAACGAGTCTGATCCTTTAAATTAAGTGAGTTTAGTGTCCCTATATTATTTGCTTTGTGGTAAAAAGTCAGAATGAAGACAAACAGATGCGTAAATCTGATTTAATTAAAGCTGAAACGTTTCTTCTTGTGTTTTATTTTTGTGGTCCAGTAAATCTGACAGAGAGAAAAAAACAAATCTAGTTTCAGAGTCCGTGACCACCTCCTGAGTTCAAACTGACCGTCAGAGCTGCATAATCTCTCTAAGATGTTTGTTTAGCTGTGCGCAAGGTTTGATTTCTCTCTCTATCCGCGCTCCAAATCCACATCAGCTCTCCTTTCTGGAAGAGCCAGCGGTAAATGGATCACGTGACCTGTCTAATTGTTGTTGAGAGCAGGACTCGGTGCACCTGTGAGTGTGTGTGTGTGTTTCCAGAGGCATAAACAGCCTCAGAGCTCCATCTGGATGTGATTGAGCTGCGCGCACAGACAGAGGCAGAGCTGTCCAGGTGGATCACAGACACACACACACACACAGACACACAGACACACACAGACAGACTCTGATGTCCTGAAGGTGTTGTCCCAGAAAACACACCGCAGCTGATCCCACCCTGCTGCTCACACTGCGCGCTGAGACCTGCGGGCCTCCGTACCAGCTCAGAGTCAAATCAGAGACACTGAGATTATTTAATCCGGAACAGATGAGATTAGATTTTCTCTACTGTGGCCTGTACTAGTTTAAAACGTTATTATTGAGCGAGTATTTTTGGTGTTTTATTAAGATTTTAGGCAGAAATACAAACGTCTGAGTGAGTCCAAGAAATGGGATGTAGTTTTTAAGATTAACGAACCAAAATATTAAACATCCTACTTAAATTACAGTTGATTTAATGACATTTAACTCAAGAAGAAGTCAAATTATAAATTTATTCGGCCTCTCTATCTATTTCTGATTTTAATTTGTTGTTTGTACCGAATTATCACTTTAACCTCTGATGTCCAGTGAGGAAAAACAGACCCCTAAATTAGGTGAAAACAGATTTCCACGTGAATTTTAACATTTGGAGTCATTTTAACTCTGCTCTTATCCAGGGTGAGGATTTTAAAATCTCTTTTTAGGAACATTTTCACTGTTGAGACGGTCACTGTGGACGCATGCAAGGTTTTAGTAAGAGTCCAAAAAGACTTAATTATGATGGTTTTTTAATGGATGTTAAATCAGAGGAGAAATTTTCTTGACAACTAATTTGTTACAGGATGAAATGTCAATTTCAAGGTTGCTGTGATGACTTGGTTTTGGTTTGGAGGATCCTGGATGAGGTTCATGTTTGGATCTGTCTGAGATTTGGAGTAATGAGACAGTTCGCCTTGAAATGAGACAAATTCATGAGTTCATATTGGAGTTTTTTTCTTTTTCTCAGAGGAAACATCCAATCAGCTGATGGAAAACCTGCAGGCTGTTTTTAGCATTTTTATTTTTAGGTTACTTATTTACTGATGGTGTGGAAAATGAAGCAAAGTTAAATACTTTCAAATGAAAAAAGTAAAAATCATTTTAAAATACTTAAAAAAGTTCAACTAGTGAATTATAGTAATATGGATTAATGTAGTTATATACTGTACATCCCTGCAGAGCATCTTTAGGTAGATTTAGACTTTAAGATATTATTGTTTGTACTTTATATCTTTAAATATCCATGCAGACGTAAATAAGAGGAACAGGCAGAATAAAAATACTAATTTAAGTAAAATCTTAATTAGAATCACGATCCAAATTGAAATTAACAGGAACATAAACTTTTTTAAAACCTTTGTGTACGTGGTTGTTAAAGGAAAATACGACACCTCA